CCCGAAACAAAGACGTTTTCGGTGCGGCCTGATGTCACACAAATCCCCACCACACCGACTGATCACACAACAACTATAAAAGAGTCAGACGACAAATCATAAGAGTAAAGGAAACGAACGAACTCCCCAGGATCTGCACGGGCCTCTTGTTATCCTCACAGGAGGACAACATATTGAAAAATGAAAACGCATATGCTCTATGTGAATGCTTCTTTACACTCGATGAGCGGAGCAAACTAACTGGACATGATGAGCCGAAGACGAAATCTCTTTTAAGTTTACTCACACCAGCAACACGCATACGCACCGACAACACACACATGTACATTTGATGTACATAAAATAATGAACTATTTGTATGATACATCAAAATGGCCTTTGTTCCCAAAAGAATGTTATGCCGGCCACTCACCGTGCCGACTATCCCAGTGCTGCTGTGACATCACCATCTGCAGCTGAACAGGACTGAGTGCAGTGTTGCTGGGCATAGTCGGCGATTGGGTGGGAGTTGGTGTGTGGCTGCTCAGCTGGCTCTGTGGATTGCCGATCTGCATGGTTGAGGTTGATGATACTGCTGTGCCCGCTGTCACGGTGCCGGATTCAGCCGCTGACTGGCCAACTGATCCTAGCCTTGAGCGTTTGGGACAGTTCGGAGCTCGCCGACGCTGATTAATGAACCTGTCACACAGTCGGGTTGGGATCAAAATTGTTATCACTCAACAAGCCATGAACTTCATCAAAGGAGAATCGAAGTAAAATGTGATAGTGTACGCCAGTCTGATTGATACTGAAAGCAGAATGAGGTTGGGTTGTAATTCAGAGTTCCAGACAGAACGGCGTTCTTCCGGCAACACTGCTTACCAGTTAAAGTTAGAAGTGTTCTCATTGGAGGAATTACAGGCAAGTGAACAGTAGGGAATGGCAACCAGAAGTACCAATACATAAGTGATAGAATTGGATTAGTATGAAATAGTGAGAAGTTACGAAGTTGGTTGTTCCAACGAGGACGACACGCTTCCTGCCGAGCTTGACACTTGACTGACTCACGACTGCCATTCAGAGCACACGAGGAGTCCATCGAACCTTCGACTCGGCAAACCTGCAAGAAAGCACCACTCCCTGCTCAATACACAGTGTTTTGGGGAATTCACCCCTCATCAGTTGAGCTTGAGTAGGCTGAGGAAGATTGTGCCCGAAGAGCACCACTTATATAGTGCTCTCCAGGCACAAACATCACCAGGGATACAAACTTACAGAGACGCTCCGCTTCCAGCGCGACAAACACCTCGTGAACACCAGATAGCAGCGTGAGTCAGTGTCGCTCCTGGACGGTGAGACAGACGTCGAGGACCCTCGGTCATTCGCAACGCTGTCACCTCCAAACCAACTAGTCGCAAGCCCGCGCTGGGCACAACAGTACGAAGTAGTGGTTGCGACTTCGGCGATGATTTGTAAGAAAGGTTTGCTCCCCACACCGGAGCTCGCGCTTTCTTGCAGGTTTGCCGAGTCGAAGGTTCGATGGACTTCTCGTGTGCTCTGGATGGCAGTCGTGAGTCAGTCAAGTGTCAAGTAAAGTCGGCGGAATAGCGCGAGCTCCGGTGTGGGGAGCAAACCTTTCTTACAAATCATCGCCGAAGTCCCAACCACTACTTCGTACTGTTGTGCCCAGCGCGGGCTTGCGACTAGTTGGTTTGGAGGTGACAGCGTTGCGAATGACCGAGGGGCCTCGACGTCTGTCTCACCGTCCAGGAGCGACACTGACTCACGCTGCTATCTGGTGTTCACGAGGTGTTTGTCGCGCTGGAAGCGGAGCGTCTCTGTAAGTTTGTATCCCTGGTGATGTTTGTGCCTGGAGAGCACTATATAAGTGGTGCTCTTCGGGCACAATCTTCCTCAGCCTACTCAAGCTCAACTGATGATACGCCATGTTTGGATACGCCATGGAAAAATATTTTCTCCTTTGGAATATTCGTTTTAAGTTCGTTAATGCATGCGTCGATCTACGGTTGTACGAGCATTGTGCCCGGTGCACACTCTGCTCAAGTGTCGATCTATCGCAGTAGTTCTAGAACGGATGGAGTGATATGTACACGTGTTATAATTATGTTGAGAAAGGGGACAATGACTCCCAAGAGTAGTAAACATGACTCCACTGTCTACTTGGTCTACAACGACAGGGGACCAGCCAAATTTGTTAAGATTTTTTTGGTATAGAACATTCGATATTCGATTCGTTTAGAAAGATATTAGATTCGTTACAATTTAGAATATCCGTTTCACCCCTACAGTACTAATTTCCGAAGATACGGCACATCCATTTTACGTTCGGGCTAGGGTTGCCCAGTGTGGGCTTATGTAGATGGGTGTTAGCGATGCTCACCTTTTCGTGTTTGCTATACCACTCCTTCAAGTACCCGGTGACTGTTGGTGGATGTCGAAACGTCGATTTCATGCGATCCTGCTCATTGTCGAGACCGGGGGAGATAAGTTCCTGCTCTCCATCTGGGGGACTTCTCTCTTCGTATCTGGATACACTGGTGTCATCAGCACTTTCATCATTGGTAACTTCAGCCCGTTGCCTGCCATCCAGAATATGGCTTGCACAGATCCTTCTCTTAGCGGGCGGAAAATTGGAACTGCTCGCGTTAGCAGCTGGCGGTCGGTCGGATTTCAATGCACGTATGCAGGTGAACAGAAAGATAATGCACACACACACACACACACACACACACACACACACACACACACACACACACACACACACACACACACATACACACACATACACACAAAACACACATACATACATACACACACACAAAACACACATACACACACACAGACAAAGAAACACACACACATATATACCCATACAAAACACACACATCTTACATTACGCACTTGTACTCAATACCACTAACGGGCTAACCACATGGCACTAAATTGGCGAGCGCATGGTCCAGGAGCCAGTAGAAAGGATCGAAGCAAGAGTATATAACCCCCCAGAGTGTGAAAACCTGACCCAGCTCTGCATAGGGTCTTGGTCGAGCGTAATTGGATCTTTGCGTCATAATACCGTACACATCTGAGGGGAAACCGGGGAGTTGCGGGGACTCTCGGATCAAAAATAACGGTGCCCTCGAGACTGGCCTTGCGCTGGTGTGGAGTGTACGCATAGCATCAGAAGATCCGACTACGCTCGACCAAGACCCTATGCAGAGCTGGATCACGCGTTGCACACTCTGGGGGGTTATGTACTCTTGATTGAAGGCATCCATGTATCCACCCCACAATTCAACTGCATCCACTGTCCCCCGTGAAGGCAATACTTGACACTAGAGGTGGCTGGTCAATAAAAGCGAATCTGAGGCAAGCGCCAAAAGCAGATTATTAGTCAACGGTTATGTGTACTTTCAATTTATAGATACTTCGAAGTAGATAACATGACCCCTGAAATCAACAAAGGTGGCAGGTGCAAAAATAGGGCTTGCAAGTGTCACGTCACGACCACACCAGAATTAGGGGAATGCTGACTTTGGATCCACTTGCAACCAATTTCATCATGACAAATTCACACTCTGTACACGGTTTGGGAGCGGTTTGCTTCACAGCAGGGTGCCCCATCTGCCGGTAGTGACTGAACTCAACCCACCTGGCCCGCCACACACTCAGTCTGGCACAGAACCAAACGAGTCGAACGAGCATGCAACGTGAGGACCTGCCCACTAGGACACCGTATTGCTCTATGCATGTCTAGAATGGCCCCAGGTTAACTCAGATATCGTTTTTTGAGCCATCGGCAACAATAATGTGCCTCATTCACAACATGAGAATGAAAGTAGCACGCGATACAGCGTCAATGAAACTATACTACAGTCGTCCCTCTCTAATCCGGCACCTTTTGCAACGGCATATTCTGCTGGATAAATAAGGGTGCTGGATTATAAAATCCCGCCCTCCAACCCGGCCCACCTGTTAACATACATGTTTGTGTCGTACGTCAAAACGTAGGGATTTTCTGTGTCAATCCAAGTACTTTGTGGAATGCATGTTTTAACATACACTTGGGAATATCCTATGCACTAGCATAGGATATTCCCAAGTGTATGTTACATGTGTTGTGTATGTTACAATGCTCCCTGACGGTATGCGATGTACAACTGCTGGATTAGAAAATCGAATTATGTACAGTTTGAGTGATTTGTTGCAGAAAATCGCTGCTGGAGGTGGAATTCAAGTGCCGGATTAAAGCGTAGAAAATGAACTGAAAAAATCCGTTTTGCCAGAAAGTGTGCTGGTTTGCAAGGGTGCTGGATAAACAAGTGCCGGATTAGAGAGGGACGACTGTAGTAGCTACTTGGTGCAAGGTCAGAGTCTGCAATCAAGCTGATTGTAGCAGTCACGCATGGTCACATGATCACAGTGCAATCACACGTCCAGTATACATGTTCCGTGCAATCTGGGAATTGACACAATCTGTAAATTTGCGCTATCTGCAGATTGCGCAGCACAATCAGGCTGAGGATTCCCAACATACTCGTGCAGGGTTGTACAATCTAGGAATTTCCAGATAGACCGCAGGCCTGCCGGAAGGCAGGCTAAGTTGGTCCGGTTTGAGGGGGATCCAGGGGACCTCCCCCGGGCATTTTTGGAAAAATCCAGTCAGAAATAGCAAAATTTCGCCCTTTCACAAGTTTTCAGAGCCAGGAAGAGGGAATAATTTTGCATGAATATCAACGCACAATGACATGTATGGCCTACTATGGGTGCATGTACATATGACTGTATGCACGATCGATAATACATATCATGTACCCAGAATGTTTTCTGCCCGGTTTTAGACGAATCCCAGGGGGTGACCTCAGCCAGAGTTGGTCCGGTGACAACCGGACCGGTTCCGGCGGCCCTGCCCGGTCGATTTCATTCGAAGATTGCGCCCCACATGGATTCGCTGTGCTCTTCATGTTTTTAAACGAAATCCACAGATTGCGCCCCACATGGATTAGCTGTGCCCTTCATGTTTTCCAGAGAAACTCACAGATAGCGTGTAATGGAATTGCATGATTTGCAGTTCATTATAAAGTAATCAATCTTCTCCTTCGGTCTTATTCAAATAATTCTCTAAATGTACTGATGTTTTCACATCATAGTTTTTCGAAAGATTCAAATAATTTAGTTATCATATGTTGATTCGCTTTGAATCGCTGATCAGAGCATGATCATGTGATCTGATCACGCTGTGCGCCATTTTTGCTATGGTTCTTTCATGCGCGTGAGAGCATGAACCTCGCGGCATTAGGCTGGCTTTTGTGGATCTTTTTACTCTCCTTTTAGACTAATTCCTGTAAACAAGCCGTATTTGGGGGCTTGAGTGGATGGTCGTGAGGGATCGAGGGAGCCTACAGACGGAATGGTAGTGCTCTAGGGTCCGACCTAAAGTAGAAAGGAATTCGATTACAAGCGCCCCACACGGATTCGCTGTGCTCTTCATGTGTTCCAACAAAACCCACAGATTGCGACCACAGATTGTGCCCCACATAATTTTTTCTCCAGGTTTTTAGCGAAATCCACAGATTGCATGAACCACACACTAACTTGGGTGTGTTTCCAGCAGTCTCAAGGAAGCTCAGGGACACGGATTTACCGTGCATGACTGGTCTAGCGCCGCAAATATTTTCGTGACATCCCAGAATGCGCAGGCCATCTTCAGATTGTGCAGAACATACACACTACTGCCGCTACTACTACACTGGAGTGTGCAGCCCGATGTACTGGTCAAGCGAACTGCTGCGCGGACAGTGGGTGCTGCGAACAGCAAACCTGAGTATGAACTATATGTATGGGGTGGGTCACAGTATTACACCACTGCATCTGATCTGCACTGAGAAGCATATCTACTGGATTGTGCACAGTTCTCTCGATCGGAGTACCTAGTTTGCCATGTATTGCATACTGCAGCGTGTTCAACAAAGGTATTTAACGTATACAGTGAAGTCACCATCCCAGGTAGAAAATCAATACGGAGTGGAATCAGCGAGGGCGTGGATCAACAATATGTTTCGGTACTCGTGTTGAGATATACAAAGGTTAATACTCCCAAACACAACGGACACAGGGAACGGGTCGGTGGAACGACATTTATACTGGGAAACGAAGAGACGGAGACAAGGACGAACGAAGCGACTACATTACGGAAGAGTGAGAGCGAGTGAAAGGGAATGCAAGATAAAGGGCCTGGGTAGCTGTGGCAAACATGGACGCGCAAGTAGCTACCCAGGCCAACGGACCAAAAGGTGGGTACGGTGGTAAGTACGGGGTGCATGCAGGCCAGCTTGGGAAAGGCTGTAGATACGATTGTACGGGAGGAGATACCTAACATACCTCCCTTGCGTAAAAGAACCGCGACCTCGCGGAAAATAATGAGACGATGAGAAAAAAATGACTGAGGGAGAAGAAAACACACACACACACACACACACACACACACACACACACACACACACACACACACTTGTACTTGTACTTGCTCACTGCCAAAACTAGTCACGTGGGTCTCCCCGGGAGAGGGGAGAGAGACTCAAAAGGAATCTTGGAAAGATGACTCAATTGGCCATTGAACCACCCAACGGCCGACACCCCCTGAAATCCCCAAACACACACACACACACACACACACACACACACACACACACACACACACACACACACACAACACACGAATCTCACAAAAGTGTTATACATGTACCAACATGCACTACAGCTATCATGTTCCGTTACTTCTAAAGTACTAGTTATACCTCCTCCCGTACAATTTTATCTACAACCTTTCCCAAGCTGGCCTGCATGCACCCCATACTTACCCCTGTACCCACCTTTCGTTCTGTTGGTCCGGCTAGCTCAGTCGGTAGAGCATGAGACTCTTAATCTCAGGGTCGTGGGTTCGAGCCCCACGTTGCGTGCCATTGTTGAGATACAGAAAGGGTGATACTCCCAAACACAACGGACACAGGGAACGGGTAGGTCGAACAACATTTACAATGGGAAACGAAGAGACAAGGACGAAGGAATCGACTACATTACGGAAGAGCGAGAGCGAGTGATAGAGAATGCAAGATAAAGGGCCTGGGTAGCTATGGCAAATATGGGCGCGCAAGTAGCCACCCACGCCAACAGAAGCAAGCAACAGCACAATAGAAAGGTTCCGCACTACGTAAAGTTGAGCAACTTTACGCTAGTGGGCGGGAAAAACCCGTGAATTCGTGAGTTTGCATTCCACTTACGGAAAGTTGTCTACGGAGAGTACGTAGATAGGGCTCTGATAACGTAGCTGGTCCGTAAGTGGATTGGGGTACAAATTTATGACTCTCTCCCCAGGTCGATCTGGTCGTACACTGCCGCGTTCAGAGTTGCTAAGGGCAGCTACGTGATTTTAACACTCCGGATGGCGGAACCCAGATGCGCATGCAGTTTACGTAAGACTTTCCGTAGATCGACTACGTTTTTTACTAACGTAATTACGTTATGCGGAACCTCTCTAATATGAGCACATTGAAGGTTTCAAGAAGGGCTGAGGCTTCCTGCAGCTTCATCTCTGAAAGGAATTCGGGTGAACACACCCATTCCCATAGCGCTGCACATCACACCCGAACCAGTTCCGTTATTTTTACAACGTTTCACCTAGTATGCAGAAGGGGGGGGGGGGGGGCAGAGAGAGAGAGAGAAAGTGCAACTAGCACATCACGGAGAAGAAGCAGCAGAAGGTAACGCGCCATTGCATTGTGCTCTGTGAAGTGAGGACGCGTGCCATGGCGTTACGTAGAGTGTAGCGCCAAAAAAAGGGGGGATGCGAGTTATGTCACCTCTATGCAGAGGGGGGGACAGTAGGTGACATAATTCGCATCTTTTTTTGGCGCTACACTCTGCGTATATATACTGCTCTTGTGTAGCTTCCACGGTACTCATTGTTATTACCTGACGATGGCCAAGTGCCGAAACGTTGTAAAAATAACGGAACTGGTTCGGATGTGATGTGCAGCGCTACGGGAATGGGTGTGTCCACCCGAATTCCTTGTAGGTTTCAGCCGGTACAAACAGGGCGGCCAAGTGCTATGTGTTTCGTGGCACCCTTCTACTGGGCTGTGTGTGAAATGGATTCCGGTAGGTCAAGTGTACTTCACAATGCATGGCCTGAACTCACGGTACAAGTACATGAATTACATTACCTCTGGCCATTTATACCGTCTGCTTCTTTTTTTACATGCGTGTGCGTTGACAAAGGTTTTCCTTTTACCAACTCAAACTTATTGACCGGAGAGTGGACTTGTCGAGTCAGTCCTTTCACCCCTAGTATACACCGTGTAAATACTAGAAAAGAGTGCTGTCACACCTTTGTCATGTGACCAAAGTAGTGTAGAAAATGATCATGGCATGTAGTAGGGGAACACGACAACATAACCGACATCATGTGACCCATAGACATGGCAACATAACCGACATCATGTGACCCATAGACATGGCAACATAACCGACATCATGTGACCCATAGACATGGCAACATAACCGACATCATGTGACCCATAGACACGGCAACATGACCGACATCATGTGACCCATAGATACAGGGATTGACTGGAGTAGGAATCAACATGCCTGTCCCGTACGGTTATGTGATGGATTCGAAACCACTCAATTGCATACAGGTACACACCTCTAGGATGGAGCTGTAATTGACTGGGCCGGTTCTCCAATGAATCAGCTGATCTCTTCCCGACCTGCTCACGCCGGAATAAGAAATCATTACGCAAAGTGGGAAAAAGTCATAGTGTTATATGCATGTAGATGTCAGACAAATGGAGCAATGCGGGGTAAACACTGAAAAAAGCAGAGATGCCCCGAGTAGTATTGCTGTGCTGTAGGTGTGTGTTCGCCATTGTTTTGCACACTGTGTGTGCTGCCAAGAGTCCATAATCCCCCAGAAGAGTGTGCAACTGGACGGGGTTGTGGGACGGCGTAATCCGTGATGTACGTCATGTTTCGGGTCGGACTTGCGTCATTCCGGCGACGCGGTCCACCACGGAGATACTCTACTCTACTCATGATGTCACACTATCACGTGCAACGCGGATTTCGCCGTCCCAGATCTGAACAGTGAAGTTGCGCACTCTGGGGGATTACATGGACTCTTGGTGCTACCAAGAGTACATAACCCCCCAGAGTGTGCAACGCCTGATCCAGCTCTGCATAGGGTCTTGGTCGAGCGGAATCGGATCTTTGCGTCATAATACCGTACACATCTGAGGGGAACCCGGGGAGTCGCGGGTACTCTAGGATCAAAAACAATGGTGCCCTGCCTCTAGACCGGCCTTGCGCTGGTGTGAAGTGTACGCATGACATCAGAAGATCCGATTCCGCTCGACCATGTCGACCAAGACCCTACACAGAGCTGGATCGGCGTTGCACACTCTGGGGGGTTATGTACTCTTGGTGCTACCTATGCACCCGCATAGTCGTATACGGTACACATAAAATAGTACCCCAAGGCAAAGCCTCGGTGCATATTACAGGATTATGATAGCCATAAATCTGAGGTCGAGACCTCTTTCTATTTATTTAAAACCATCTGATAAAGAATCTCCCACACACAAAAGCAACCACAACCCAGAGGATTTCTATAAAAAAGGGTGTTGTTATCAACAAGTGGTGGAGTCACTTTTCACAGAATTATCAACTGTCGAATGCTGCTGCTTACGTTCTTCTTTATCAACTGTCAACATTTCACTTTTGTCTATATCGACAAACTAGAATTGCACCGAATGAGGTCCACTGCGCAATGGTCAATGTTGTGTGCAGGTCTGAAAAGACAGTTTTAAAGCTCTTCAATAATTAGGAGAGTGTGCGGGTGTGCTGGCCCATAATCCTTTACAGTCTAGGTCTTGGATGCGCACTCAAACAGCCTTCCAACTTGGAATGTTCTAAGTTATAGGAGTAAAATAGGAGGAGAAGGTGCGTGCAATCAAGACAAGCACAACTTGAAAGTCTTAGCTGTAAAGGATGTTGGAGTGCGCATCCAAGACGTGCTAGAGCTGATTGGCAGTTAGTTGTAGAACGTCAGTTCCGCCGGTCAGTGTCGTGCAATTTTATCGCATGAGCTGATTGTTGAGTAACTGGTGGTGTTAGTGGACATAATAGCATAACTTGTAGTTCCTTGGTCCTTTTTAGTGTTGAAACGAGCGTATCTATAACAAACGAGCGATCAGTTCCACTAACGAGCAAGCTATCGAGCGAGCTAACGAGTTTCATTGATGTGGCAAATATGATTTTTTGAACAATTTTTTTCTAAGTTCGATTTTTTCAGCTGGTTCAAATTATCACCGCCGGCATTTGGGGTTGCTGCTGCTTCACTTCGGACTGCTGTTTGGTGTCGAGATGTCTTTTCAGCGCCGTCGTCGAGTAGCCTTTGTAAGAATAGACCGTTTTGCAAAGATTGCAAGTAGCCCTGGTCTTCGCTGCATCGCGGGAGAAAACTTCCAAACGACTGAGCGTAATTATATACTTTCACTCGAATGGAGAGGTGACCGAAGCATATCCTGGGACAGGTCAGCATATGCGGAACAAGACATCAGTAGAGTCCACCAAAGCTGCAAGTGCAACGACTATTGTCAACTCAAGTGTCATGCAGGCAAACAGTCACTGTATTAAACTGCGAGTGATTTTCACTTTGCGCGGGACTGGACTCTCGATCGACCAGGGAGTCGTAAAATATTTTACGACTCCCCGGTCGACATGTACTGCCATGTGTACGGAGTGCAGTGTACGGTGTTCGTTAGTGCAAACGAGCTGGCCGCACAAACGAGCCGAGTTTCTGGCGAGCGAGCTAACGAGTATCCGGTGAGATCGTTTCAACACTAGTCCTTTTCTTTGTAATAAATCTATCCTTGGACCAACATCCGAGTGCATCCTTACTCTCCTTTCAATAGATCGTTCTGGGTGCTACATGCGCTCACAGGTTGCATTTCGTTTGACAAGGCAATATTGAATATCGGAACATGGAAATGGGTTAAATGTTTCAAGGTTTCCTCTGCCCCCCTCCCCCTCCCCCACTATTGGTTTATTGCGGCAACCTGATACGTTACGGCAAGAGTACATATACAAGAGTATGCAGCTGTGATCTCTTTTCTGTGGGCGAGATGCGCAGCGCACTGCCTTCTTTACATCATTCAGCTGCAGTCCGCGCACTGCGGAAAATCGAACACCGCACTTTCCCTCTGGTTTGAAAAGAACTTTCGTACGGAACTGGAGTTAACGCGCCAAAATTTAGAGATTGCATAGGTACTGGAACAAAGCGAGCAAATCCGGATGGGCTCGTACGAGAAATTGTGGGTTTGAGTGCATCCTTTCATAGCGTGATGAAGGCAAGTTACGTAATGCAGGCAGCGCGCCGCGTACTGACCCATAACCACAGTTGCATACTCTTGTTTATGCACTCTTGATTACGGGCGCATACATGTCGGCAAAGTGTAAAGCACCAGACCAAAAAAAATGTGACCAGCGCCAGAAAACAAAGTCATTGGCGAAGTGAGTGGTAGAAATTTTGAAATGCTTAAGCACACAACTGGAGTAGTGCAATACGTGCAATCAGAACCTTTGCCTGAGGTGCGCACAGTTGGGTGCATACTCACACAAAACTCTGGTGATGTAGTAGGAAGTGGCCAGGGGGAGCATTTCGGGTCGGATTTCAACGAGCGCAAATGTAGCAGCCCCAGGAGAGTAGGTACAAGTAGCAAACAATTTGTTTTGGAGCTGACTTGGGATGGACGCGGCATTGAAAAACCATCACTTAGCCGTTGGGTATACGAAGAAAATGTCGGAAAGCAGCAGTCGCCAGCATGAAGTGAGTTTGCAGATTATAACAGGGCAAAACAAATATCCAATAATAAAATATTCACACTGTTCGCTTGAGACTCTATTAGACTGAGTTTTCAGCATCCGTAGGAACGCCGCCACCTTGCAAAGATCAAAGGCGCAGATGTAGCTCCTAGAGCGGTGGGAGGTGAGTAGATCATCACACCAGCAAAGTGGTCAAAGACCGAAATACCAACAGCACATATACAAGGTTTGTATTTTCACGGCTGAGCGTAGCGAAAGAGTGCAAAAAAGGTATTTTTCAATCACAAACATTTTTCGAGAAGTTGCTCTTGTCCTGTGCAACTCTGTAAAACCTATCATTGTGGTCTTTGTTTCTCCCCATCGTGAGCATGATTGCTCTGGTAGACCACTACTCCATTACTGAATAGTTGCCCTGTGAGTGAAAAAAAGGCAATTTCGTAGAACAAGTCGCCGGTGGCAGTACACTCACCAGTACTGATCCTCCAGTCTCCACTGTTCCTGGCGTAGCACCGTCTCCCCGAGGCTCCACTGTTCCTGGCGTAGCACCGTCTCCCCAGGGCTGGTACACCGGTGCCTGCTGCAACGGCTTCACACTATTGATGATAGCACTGGACTGCTCCAGGAAGTCTTTCTGGATGTGACAGATCTGCTGTTGCATGCGTCTGTGACATTGCTTGTGAAGCTGAAAATGCGACAAGACACAACACAATCCATTGGTATAACGCCATAACGATGTTTGCTCGTCTTCAGATACACTGAGATCTGTTGCTGGTAAGCAAAGGCACTTGCAGTCAGGGAAAGACATTACCCAATGTGAACTAGGCAGTACAACAGGAACAAAGAAACAATTTCACAAATACCGTGCATACAAAGCGTAGTAGTCCGGCATGAACGGTCTGCCTTTCACTCTGGCAACAGGTATGCATACTTTGGGACAATGGATCGGTGTACTTCCTCCGTTAACAAAAACTTCGTGATGGATTTTGATGGATATGAAACCGCTTAGAACATGTCAAGAACAGTTTGTATCGACTGCAAATCACTGGACGAAGGTGATTCAGCCTATGTACAGCGTGTTTACAAGAGAAACTGTTGGCAGAATGAGCAGAGAGTTCAGTTTGCGTCGTTTTCGCTCAACTCATTTTTGACCTGCGTCGCTGTGGTCATCTGCTCCACGCGAGTCGTCATCTCTCTCCAGTCGTTGTTCAGCTCGTTTCAGCCTTGCCTCGGGTTCTTTGATCACAATCCTCTGACCTTGATGTCGCCATCGTTCATGTAAGTTGGCTTACAAGCTGCGTGATCCGCTGCGATGGCGATTACTCGTTTCCACCAGGGAGTCATGAAAAATATTTTACGACTCCCTGATTTCATCTTTGCTCTCCAGAACTCAAGATGATCATGCGCGGAATCCACTCACAAAATAAGTTTTCGCCCCTCATGCCACACTCCTACATCTCTATCTGCTCACACTCCAAAATCCTACCTTGGCTGGTTGCGTCCAGTCCGCGAAACAAAGAGTAAATGCACAGTCAAACTGATTCCATTTTCTCTAATGAATACCACTGCCAGCACTGAACGGCAGCGGATAGCAAGTCCAGTCGACTTTCTTTAACCATGAGACTCGCATCGGACTGCAGACTTCTGAAAGAATGCATGGTCATCAGCATTCGAATCTGGGCTTTGCGCAGGTTGAACAAGAACTTGAGTTCAGAATTATTTTCATTGAGCCGTGCGATCGGAGCAGCTCCTTGTTCACTCGCTCATTGTGTGGGCTCGCTGCTCCGTTTTATCGCTCTCTATCACTCTCCAACTTACTTAGTGCTAAAATGGTAGAGAGGCCAAGCAGCGCAATATCCCCTCGGAGAAGTGGTATTTCAGTTTCGCTCGCCATGACTGTCATCACCTATGTTTCCACAGCGCAACCATCGATTCCGCTCGGATAGTTGTGAAAGGTCGATTTGCTTGCATCGTACCTTTTTCATGGCATACCAGGGAAGGCCAAGAAAGTGATTGTGACTCATTTCACGGCAGTTTGCGCCCAAATCAGCCCTTCCAAAATCCATCATGAAGTTTTTGTTAACGGAGGAAGTAGATGTATTGCCCTCGTGACATGATCAACAGTGCATTTTTTTTAGGGCTGAACACCCTAAAAACCTAGGTTCTACTCAACGGAGAGTAACATCTGGCTAAGGTTGATATTGACCGTTGATGAGCTCCTAATTCCATGTTGGATGGATTGCAGGGTTAACCCATCAGCTCCCTTCAATCACAAGCTGGCTACAACTGTGATTTGTCGATGATCGCCTCGCGATCTCACTGGCCCATTGCCCGCCATCCTCCTGGCACCTCCACCCATCTGCTGTACACTGCCTCCCCATCGCCTCTTTCCGCGCTGTCATGCTCACACCTGCCTGTTGCCCGCCACCCTCCTGGCACTTCTACTGTCGCGCCTTGGCCCGCGCCATCTTTCTCCTCATACCTTACACCAAATTTAGCGCTAAATGTGTTCATGCTTGTGGCCCTATGTGTTTATAAGCATACGATACTGTTGGGTAGACCCGAGTATCAATTGTCTGATGATTGCTCAACGGCATGAAACTCAGAGTTACAACCAACCTGAACGTCCTCTGCTGAGTCTGCAATGCACGTTCTTCTATATTATTGCTAGACGGGAGAAGATCAGGACTTACATCGAGCAATGTTCTGCAGTTGTCCAGTAAATTTGACATCTCATCCAATATCTAGACAAGAAGAGAGAGAGAGAGAGAGAGAGAGAGAGAGAGAGAGAGAGAGAGAGAGAGAGAGAGAGAGAGAGAGAGAGAGAGAGAGAGAGAGAGAGAGAGAGAGACAGAGAGACAGAGAGAGACAGAGAGACAAAGAGAGATTAGCTTGGCATGTTTGCGAGCATTCTTAGATTCACAAGGCGCTCGAAGATGCTGCTGGTGTGCTCATTCCATTCGTCAGACACAACAGACTACTAGTAGCTTCAAAATTAGCACCCGTCCAATTCCAAGTGGTGACATTATGTTATTTCATGCTACATCATAACAATTATTTCCCATTGATTGTAGATTGCTATGAGATTCTGTCACACTTTCTGCAAATCCTTAGTTCCATAGAAATCCATAAGGGTAGACAAACAATGATCTTACAGCTTGGGTTACGTCATCTCTTTTTTCCTTGACCTTCGGATTATGAATGCGAGTCCTATCCTGTAGGCAAAACACATCAGTATTATGGCTGTATTGGTTGACCTGCAATCAGCCAGTGTCATCTCGTGCCAAAAAAGCGTGAAACAAGACTTGATTTTGTGCGCTGTTCTTTTCACCTTGCTACTATTTCCATGTTTTGTAGAGTTGCCCGGCATTTGAAATACCCATGGCAACTGGTGGGTAAATCGTCCAAACTGAATGCAAACGCGCCTGTCGTCGAGTGCAGCCGTGTGAATCCACACAACCACTTTTCTCGTGAATCACTAGCTGTAAAACGTGCATGTGCCGGTCGTGTGAATCGCCTAATATGTGCAACTGTAAACGCCAAATTCAGACCAATCCAGAGTATAGCCCCCCCCCCCCCCCCCAACACACAACACACAACATAACATACGACAATCACTACTAGTGTGTGTGTGGAGGGCACCAACACGCAGCCCCGCCATGGACCCAAGCGTGGTTGGAGAGATGTGGCAGCTTCAGACCTGCTTGCGACCTGTATCCCGGAGGCGCAATGGTACCACCTTGCTCAGGAGCGGAGGGACTGGCGCGAGCGTAGCCGTCGGAAGCCAAAAAGTCAGCCCCAACCAAGAGTGTTCGTCTGCGTCTGCGGCCGCGACTTTCGCCGTTCGAATGATTTATCCCGACAAAAGAACTACTGCCTCGCCTAATAGCTATCATCGCCTTTGGCGATGGGCTTTCCAAAGGTCCAAATGTGTGTGTGTGTGTGTGTGTGTGTGTGTGTATGTGTGTGTGTGTGTGTGTGTGTGTGTGTGTGTGTGTGTGTGTGTGTGCCGATACATGTAATAGTGGGGGCTCAGCTGTTGTGTCCAGAATGCAGGCAACTGCAAGGTATCAAAAGTCACACAACATCACACATACAATCATGTAGATATGTACATTGTGGAGCTGGGCCGGTTACATGTACATGTACAGTGATGCTCAATGAAATCCAGTCACAGCGTCACTCAAGTATACGCCGGGCTTCGCGCAGCCGGCCGTACACCTGCCAACACTGGGCTGCGAAATGGTGCAAGGCGCAATCTTGAATGAAGCGACTGGATTTCATTGAGTAGGACTGTAGTTAGTGGATGAACTCTGTGTGTGTTCCCATATTCACAGAAAATGAAAATATCGGCATAAGGCTTTTGAGGGGGAAGCAGGCTGTTTGGTTTGGTTTGGTTTTTATTACTTCAGTTCGTTGCCTCAACAGTACAAAGTACAAATATCAAGAGGGACAAACGAAAAGAGAGAAAGTAAAACAGAGCAGAAAGGAAGATGCAACTGGAAGGAAAGAAAAACGGAGAACGAATGTGGACTGGGCGGCTTCTTGAATCATTACTAGAGCGGGGCAAGACATGAACAGAAGGGGCAAGTCCGTCGATATTCATGTTTAAAACTTTTGTCGTACTCGCTGACTGTATAAGATTTGGTTACGTTGGTGGACAGTTAGTCATAATTCGTAACATTTTGTCCTTCTCCTTTTTCACCATAATTTGATTGGCTCACCATCCGAGTTGAGTTTAAAAAATTCCAAGCCTTATTTTATTGCTTAAATACATTTTCAAAAGGGAGGGATATAGGGATATAGCCAATTTGTCGTCATTTAGAGCGTGCAAAGGTTCTGTAGAAAATGATCTAATGTCTTCAATTCGTTTGAAGTGAGTAGGGAGGGCATTCCACATAAGGGATGCTCTGGAAGAAAAGGAAATGTACCCTACCATGGATTTAAACAAGCAAATTGACAAATTGTTTGTTGTAGTTCCACGAGTTGACCGCTTAGAGGTGAGTAAAGGGAAAAGACTGCATAAGCATGATGCAGGCTGAACAATATGACAAATAAACGTAAACGAAAAGAAATGATAAATGTATCGTTATTCAAGGTGTTTTATTTGAAGAGAAGCAAGAAGGGGTGGAACAGCAGCATCGTAAGAAGCACAGCAGGTAACTTGTACAGCTCGACGGAACAAAGTAAACAATCTCTCCCTGGACTGTGCTGATAGGTGAGATGCGTAAACAGGGAAACAATGCTCAAAGTCAGGCTGCATCACACTAAGCAGGTACTGGCGACGGGCAAATGCTGCCATTTGGAGGAAGGTGCGTCGCAACGCGCCTATCTTGCGTGACACCTTGCTGGTGAGGTGATCCGTAGTACGTATGGAGCAAACGAGAGCTTGTTATCGATAAGGATACCAAGGCAGCGAATCACACTCACTTCCCTTAAGGTAGTGCCACCCACCTCAACAAGAACGGGTCTTTGTACGTCAGGAGTATTCTTCGGCAAGATCCTCATGACCACGGGTTTTGTCAACATTAATTAACGCTCATGCCCAGTGATCTTAGTTCACTGTGTAGCTTAGCGAGAGCCGAGGACACGACATCGGCGCATACTATTGAATCTCGTGAGGAAGCGTACAAAGTCTTGTCATTGGCACACATGAGCAGCTTTGCACCGCTCCCTGCAGCCAGGTCAGGTAAGAGTCGCACATATCTGTTAAAAAGGTTGGGACCCAAGATTGTTCCCTGCGGAACCCCTCGGGTTACGGGGAGAAGAGATGATGTTCCAGTGGTAGAGTCTATTTGAAATGCACTACGGTTACAAAAAAAACCCCACAGCAAACGTAACTAACTAGTTCACTCGTGAAATGCTCCGATTCAGACTACGGCCAAAATCACGTCTGAACTTGAATTTCCATGGTGATGCAGTCGTGTTTCATAATGATACTGTACAGTCGCTGATCAAACACGTCTGAGCTGAGTCGTAGAAACGTGGCCACAATCGGCCGTAGTCTGAATCGCCTAATACTTGCAGTATGAAGTCGGAGCATGTGAACTTCAGATCAAAACATTAGCGTTGCAACTAAAGTGAAATATCCTAAACACAGATGCACATACAGGCCACCTACTTGCCGATAAGATCTGGCACTGTCCGTGGGCTTTCGTCGTTGTTGTGATAATCACCCAGCGAGTTCTGCTGTGCGGATCCGTGTCGAATCTCGATCCGGCAACGTTCACGGGAAAACTCACCATCATTTTTGGATGGTGATCTTCATCGCAACTACTCTTTTTGCGATTGCTTTGATTCTTTTGTTGAGACATAATGACGGTACAGGGAACCTAAACACATGCACACGCTCGTCATGAATGGTACCCCCTGGGTAAAGATGACACCACAGGATTTACTTACATCGTACTTGCCCAGCTCGAGACGAAGGAGGCTTTCCATTTCATTGTGCATGACTTCAGGGTGATCCTGTCCGGGAATGCGATCGTGACTGTCGGCTAACAGTTTCAATAGCGGAAACAGCTCGTGGCTTCGAGGCAGAAATCAAGAAAAACAAGACAAAGGTGGTCGTTACAGTTTCTGTCTGTACCCAGCCTCACTAGCAAATACTAGCATGGTCAGCACAGGCCTAGCGCATGATGATAAGCCGTACAATTGTAGATTTTAGGTATTTTGGCGTCATCGTGAATTTTACGTTCAATGCAACGGGCATTCTCCGGGCACACACGTCAGCAGCAGCTAGATTCTAACCTCTATCTAGCCTTCTAGAAGGCCTAGAATTCTAGGCAAGGATAGTTGTCGTGGCCGGATGTGGTGAGACGCGCGTGCAGGTTCGTGAGGGCCTGATCTGTCTTTATTGCTATTTTGTTTGTTTCGATCTCCGCCTTGAAGCAGCACACGCGCACTCACGATTTCGAAAGGGACCATTACATTTTTGGCATTAGGGGAAATGAAGAGTCCGTTGAAGGGCGCGATGAGTTGCGTGAGGTATCTGATCCTGGAAACTGATCCGTGAGTGGAAAGACCTGCTGGTAGCCTCCATCCACACATCATGGGACAATGACGTTAAATTTTCTTTTACGGTATCACTGTCACGGGGGAGGAACTGAGCAGGATGAACATCATACTCAGTAACCTAGATGACCTATTCAGGTACAGATGCATTGGCTCGGACGAAGTCAATTGGACAAATGTGTGCAAACAACTGTGACCATGGGCAAATTTCTGAAAGTGAACTGAGACTCGATGAAAGTTCAGGCAACATTTGATACCAGCAAAACAGAAGCGGAACAGTCGGAGTTATTTTCAATCAGTGTCCTACCATACACTACCATGCGAACTGTTCATTTACTAGTACATGTGTGTTACATCATGATTGTGTAATGCTGGAAGGGGAAACTACGTGGACTCACACTGTCACAGCACGGAGCTGGTCTTCCCTACCTTTGGAATGCCTTGCAGTCTCTGTATTTTTCCGATGTCATCCTGGCGTGGTGGCAATCAGTAACTTTCACGTCTTATTAGTACCAAACCCGAGACTAGCACTACCCGGCAAGAGCAGTGTTATCACTTATCAGAAGAAGAGAACAACAGACGTGGTGAGGAAGGATTCGTGCAAGTAAACTTTAGAATTGCCTGAAACCAGAGTGAAGGTCCGGAAAGGCGTACGTTGTCTAGAACATACAATGGTAGGATCGTCTAGGTATGGTTCTCACCCAACCATAGTGTGCAGAGAAGAAGGAGCTGAAGACAAGAAGCCCAATCCACGCAGCAGCAGCAGCACACAGATGTAACAACTGGTGCTAGCTCTCAACTCTCGGTTACCCATATACATGTACATGTACGTGTATCTCCTCGACAAGAATCGTGCCCCGCGAGGAGAAACAGCGGAAAGATGAAGGAACGGCAGAGTGCGGGTTAAGATTCTCACCATACAGTGATGTATCAAGAATGTATCAGGGATGTAACGGTTATGCCCCCAGCACTTGAAAATAGTTGCTTGCCTGATCATCGATGATCGCTCAGCGTGAAACCCACCAATTGGCCAACCGTTCTGACTTCTGTGTCCGTGCATGTAGTATGTTATTAATAGTGATAGGCCTTAGGCTTAGGCCGAGGTCGGAGACCCAGTACAAGCTGTACATGATGGTACAGGACCAGGTGTCAAGATCAAGGGGATCGAGACTGCCTTGTGTTCGCAGTATAGCCGCATTGGCATCCTGCAGATACATACAGGTTATGTCGTTACGTGCCCGTACCCCCCCCCCCCCCCGTGTACATGTACATGACTTGTAGATCCACGACACGCTCCACAGTCCGCAGAGTGCATACGTACATAATTACATACAGAGATTATTTTAGATGTCACGTGTGAAGCTAGTGTGCACGTGAGATGCAGGCCGTGGCCTGGTCTGCATCTGCCGACACTCGAACTCCTGCGTCCGGCACGTCCTGGCAATCGTAAAATTTAATAGTACTAGTACTTAGTTAGTCACTTAGTAGCAGTCCGGGCAGTCAGTGAATGAATACACGGATCAGTGCAGTGTAAAACAGTACTAACAATAGTCAATAACACTGGCGAGTAACAGTAACTAACAGTTCTGGGATCGGCGACTGAACCAGTGCCCTGCATGCATGCACTGCCACTCGGAGCTGGGGCACTCTCTGACTCTGACACTCTGAGGGGCACTCTCTGACAGTCTGAGTGAGATCACAGTAATGACACGCTGTCATTATCACTCTTAGTCTTACTTCTAAGTCTTACGCCAGTTACGGGCAGTTCATAGTCAAGTCACTGACCACCACGCCATACCACACCATACCAACCCCACCACGACCTTCCATTGTACATACATGTACATGACTGTATACAGTCATGTTAGGAAATTATTTACAACAGTGGAATGCCAATCATCATCCAAACGATTGAACTGAAAGGTCCGAAATTCTTGTTTTTTTGGTATGGTTTTATACACAATAATAATTAATGACGATAGTTATTACTACCTCTTGCCCTAGCTGGACCGACGGCTGCCAAGTACAAGTCTCTTCAGTACTGCTACTAAAAGCCTAGTAAAAGGTAGAGTTTCATGTGTAAAGCCGTGGCTGGATTGCACACCCTCCCCTTTCATTGACAACTACATGTACATGCTATGGCCCAGTATGGGATGTGGAATACTAGCAAATAAATATGAGCCCGGCCGTGCGCGCTAAAAGTAAAACATGACCACAGGTTTTTTTGAAAAAGTCGAGATGATCGCGATTTGAATTCCGCGGCAAAAGAAGTGCAGTGCAACGCGAGTCGCTGTTGTTGTTCTCCTAGCTCGGTCGACTGGACTGTTCCGGATGCAATTCTTTGTTGCAAGTAAGTTTATTTGTTAGAGTTTGTACATGTATTCCATGTTGCGCTGAGTCGCCTAAAACTGATCGTCATCGATGTATCGACGGTATGCCCCCACATGAGCGCGACCCAAAACAGCGCCGTTGACTTCAGCGCCCCCCCCCAAAAGCCCCATCCCCATAACTGGACATCCCCAAGACATCCATGCGCAGGATAAATATTTTGAGGATTCGAGTCGGAAACAGAAGGAAGACGATGATGGATACAGCGACGAGTCATTTGAGGGCGACACTTTCATCGAGCGTAAAAATAATTGATGCTGGTAGTCCCACGATCTGCAGTGACGAGGAATTCTACTCTGATGACAACCTGGCAAGCGATTGGCATCGACACTGACTTGGGAGGTGAGTCGGCCGATGATTTGGCCAGAATGGACATCGCTGCACATATCCGGGACAATGCCAGTATTGGTTGCAAGTGCAAAAACAATCACTGGACTCTGCTGCTCCCTCAACTTGCTCAAGTCGATAATTTGAGTACCCTTATGCGGAACATCGCTAGTAGCATGAGCAGTATGCAGCGAAAGCAGTACTCTCTGGCGAGCGGAGAAAACCGTGTGCAGGTGGGCTTTGGTGTGGGGAATATGAGTGCGACGTCTAGTATGTTGACGAACACTGTGTGCAGCAGTGTAATAATAATTAATACTGTATATCTGAAAGTACAGGTGGAGTGTGATGGAGAGGACATGGAGTGCCAACTTCTTCAGCCATCTCACAGATGTTGACCGTGTTTTCGCTGGCGGTTCTCCAGTGGTGCTCCAAACAGGAGGTATTTCGGACACCCAGCTCAGCCGCCCATAGACAATTTGGATGTGGCTGAGTACCTGTCATCTCATGCTATAAGACCCTGGACAGAGGAACTGACCCGGAAAGGATGAACGAAAGGGCATATCAATTGTGTGCAAAAATGACAATCCCATTGCTGTACATAGAATTTCACCATTTCAACAGTGCTGCATATAATACCATTGTAGCAACACTTAGACATGTCGGATCAATCCAAAACTTTCTGACAGTGAACATTAGGTGTGTTAGATCATTTTTGAACAAAAAAACTGAAAATCGAATTTTTGGTCTGTGGTCATATTTTGGCGTGCTCTGGCTCATATAATAAACACCAATTTACTTGACTAAGGGGCCGTCCGTAAATATCGATGTTTTTTTAGAGACGATATTGGTGCGTCTGGGGGGGAGGGGGTTTGAGCCATGTGCGTCTTTTCGAGCATCAGAAAAATATCGATGTAAATATCTGAAGTTTCGCCGATCCCTGCACGCGGACGTCTAAATGGCTATACAAGAAATGTGAAACCAGCTTCCGTTCGCGGAGCTAAAACTCGCGACACAAGAACAAAATCAAAAATTGGAAGCTGTACGCCCATGGCGAATTTCAAGAGCAAAAGAATGAGCTATTGATTGTGGAAATCGGCCGAACAATGCCTGCAGGAGACCTTTTTCAAGACGTAGAGGCAGTGCGAACAAACACGGACGAACTCCACAAGAGTTTCCAGTCTTCAGACTTCACTGTCTGAACAAGGATTTGAAAAAATTCAAGCCCGAGCGTAGCCGCTTTGGCTACACCAGTACACGATGGCTGTGAGCACTGCAGCGCCAACCCGGTTCGCTCCCCCCAGGCGATGCAGCTATTGCGTGAGTGCGGCGGGATTTTCACGCCTACACCGGACCCTCAACATCCTGGGCACTTCATGAGCATCCAAAAATATTGATTCCATGATCTAGATGTACATGTGCGTCTTCTGGGGGGGGAGGGAGGGGGTCAAGGGAGAGAAGCACCAATATCGTCTCTAAAAAAACATCGATATTTACGGACGGCCCCTAAGCACACATTACGCAGCCTCACGAGTCAATACACGTCTACCTGGATGCCAATACGCCTCTACTTCGAAGTACATGTACTAGTACAACCATGGTTTTAGATAAACCTTGTTTTTGGTATGGCCGCATTGGGACATCACCAACCTCGTCTACAGAGAGCACCTTCTCACGATAGTGTCATGGTGGTGACAGTGATTGTTGTCAGCTGACGAGCTGAGAGAGGGATGCCATGGACAGAAGTTGGAAGAAAAAAGAGTTAAGAAAAACAATTCGGGTTAAAATAGCTACAATTTTTTTATTACTATCAAGAAGACATCCAGGAGCGATCACAGAATACACGACTGACGTTAGGAGAAGTCTATAAAAAACTTTTTTCTTCTTCTGTCATGAAACTCAACATCATAAAACCATCACCCCTGAATCTATCCTGCACGAGCGAACCTGTGGGCGGACCTCCGATTGTTTGACCCAGAAGTCGTAATTATTATTTGTTTTGTTGGCTTCGGAATGTGTAGTCATTATTGCCTTCAAGCCCTTCATTATACTGTATGTATATGTACATGTAGCTGTTGTTACCAGACCGTCAGACGTGGATACATCGATGAACGCTATACCAGACCATGTGTAGAGTTGCATATTTCCTGCACCCATATTTTACCACATTCTACAATGACTTTACTTAGGTGTTGGTGTAGGTGCATGCCCTGGCCTGGGCTCGTGAGTGGTGATGCCATGCCTCTCAGCCATGTACATTGAACCTGTAGCTCCACCAATCGAATCATGTTAATTAATTAGGAATAGTAATTACAGCTACAGCTAGTTGGCTCCACACTAGCATCATACTGCCTACAACAGCCTGCAGTTGCGTGTATTGTACCTACGAGGGTAAATAAGAGGCTTTCAGGCACGTAGTGCCCGACACTACACCTGTAGTGTGTAGTTTTGAGTACGACCACAGTCGAGTCATGTACATGTACATGTACATGCATGTCACCTGGCAGGCTGGCAGTGGCACCACCAGACACTTACAGTGTCAGTAGACATCATCCACAAACATTATGTACAATCATGTACATGTACAATCATTATAATTTGAACCCAATACTAGTTCAAAACTAGTATTTTATAATAGATAAACCTTTCTATAGTTCATGCATATTGTTAGATGACTACCAGGACGACATCCAGGAACGATCAAAGAATACACGACGGACGCAAGGAGTAGTCTCCAACCCCCTAGCATAATGAGGGTCAGAACTGGGTTCAACACCCATATGGTTCAAATGGTCCGCAGGGACCAGGGCTCTTCCAATTAACCGCGGAAGGTTGTACATGTAGTAAGGTCACTGTTTCCGAACACAGTGTCCTCCACCTTGTTTCATGCTGTCAATCTAACAATAATTATGCATGTATATCATGTATATGTACATGTACAGTCATGTACATTATTGTACTTATGTTGTTGGTTGAGAGCCTGAAGAATCATTATTTTAATAATAGCCGGCTGGCATGGTACATTCACTTTTTCTTCTTCTTCCTTTTTTTCCATTAATGGCTATTTATTTTACCTCGAATGGCTATTTACAATCTGTATCACAATATGTGGGTTCAGCAAGAAAGGATACGTGACCAGTGTCTGCTCCAGAGCCGGGTGAGGATGATATGAAGTAGTAGTCACGCACCTACAAACATAATATTCCACAATTCCAGTTTTTATGGAAAAGAAAAAGGACCAAGGAACTACAAGTTACGCTATAATGTCCACTAACACCACTAGATACTAAACAATCAGCTCATGCGATAACATTGCACGTTCCTTGCAAGGTCCTTATTCTTTTCTCCCTGGCTCTCCATCCGAGTCGATTCCAGTTTTATTCCAGTTTTA